TATTTTCAGGACATTTTATCAGATCTTTTTGGGACAATTTTTCTCTAATGCTTGCTACTATTGTTTTTTTGGGGGGTGCCAGGGATGCTGTGGATGAACTCAGGCCTTGCCCATGCTAACCAAATGTTCTACCAAGTGCTTCTTCAGTTCACTAATGTAGTTTAGATGTTGGATTTGTTGGATTTGTTTTCTAGGGCTTCCACAACAAGTTATAGAAAACTAGATGACTCTAAAATAATAGGAAAATTTTAAAAAATAAATTTATTTTATTCATCCCCCTATGGCCTATCTCTTCCCTATATATAAAAGCTTTGTTTCCATTTTCACATTTTTTCTTGTCACTTCTTTCCTTCCTTCTTCCCTCCTTCTGTGTTCCCCTTACCATTTGAACATTTTCTTCCCATTTCCCAATATCTGTTATTGTTTTCCTTTTAATTTTATTTTTAAAAAATTAATTGTATTGGTACATTTAAGGTATACAATATAATGGCGTTCATCATTGGAACCCAGTATTGATTATACATTTCAGTCCTTATTTCCACTTTTGGGTTCTCATACCAGAGGAAATGGTATTTAAACATGTGTCCAATTTATTTCACTTGAGTGTGGTCTCAAGGTGCATCCATTTGGCTATAAATGTCTGAAGCTCGTCCTTCTTTATTGTAGAGTAGTACTCCATTGTATTAAAAAATCCATCATCTTTATCTACTCATTCATTGACAGGCATTTGGGCTCTTTCCAAGATTTAGTTATTACAAACTGTGCTGCTATAAGCATGGGTGTGCATATATTCATTGTGGTATGATGCTTTAATTCTTTCGGGAAACTACGAAGAAGAGGAATAGCTGGGTCAAATGGAACCTCTCATTTTAGTTTGTCCTCACAGTTGAGGAGGCTACAAGTCTAAAATGGAGCTTTCCGTAAGATCATCCCCCCACCCCTTTCGAGATCTAGGGGCGTATTCTTCCTTGCCTCTTCAAGCTTCTAATAATGGCTCCTGGTGCTTCTTGCCTTACAGTAATATACCATAAGGCAAGAAACTCAGTGTCTGCCTTTGTCTTCACAAAGCCTTTTTCCTCTTTATGTGTCTCAGGATATCCTGTCCTTTTAAAAGGATGCTAGTCAGTTGATTTGGGATCTTTTGTAAATCTACGATGATTTTATTTTGAGATCCTTAAGTCATTATATCTGCAAAGATCTTATTTTCTTCTTTTTTGGTACCAGGGGTCAAACTTGGGACCTTGTGCTTGCAAGGCAGGTGGCAGAAGATCTTTTCAGATAAGGTTACATTCTGAAGTTTTGGGTGAACATGAGGTTTCAACCCACTATTGATATGCAACTTTGGAACAGATAGGGAGACAGAATTGAATTCTGTAATGTCAAAAACTACTTCACAATTTGCAGGAATGTTGTTTGGGTCATTTTTCAATCTGAGTGGTCACAGCAGTATGCTTTAGATAGAGGTCCCAAGTCAGTAGGTATCTGGTACACTTAGAGCTCTGTCCTCTTTACCTGTTAGCAAGCTTGGGAATAAGGAGATCTAAAAATATATAGAAGAGTCTGTGGCCAATTTGAGAATGAGAGTTTGTAGTACTATAAATGCGTAAGAATTTATATGAGCAGGTAGTATAGCGATGATGAACAAGAGCTCTGTGTATGTGCACCTGTGAGCTCATACATGCTGGGTTTGAATCCAGGGCTTTGAGCATGTTGATCGCATACCTACCATTGAGCTACACCCCTAGTCCGAAGGAGCAAGGACTTTGGAAATCACATTCTCTGGGTTCAGGTTCTGTCTCTAACCTTTATTAGTTGGGTGGACTGTTAGTAAACCAGAGAACCTCTCTGCAATATCTTATTAGAATAAAGGTTATTATTATTACCTTCCTACAACATTGTAATTACTCAATGTTTGCTGCTTCAATTTTGTTTTTGACATCATTGCCTATTAGGTTTTTCGTTGGTTCTTTTTTTTTTTCATCGTCACTTTATTTCAAGAGAGAAGCTACATCCGAAAGATTTGTGCCTTTGTTTTCCTAGTAATGAGAATTAATTTTTACGGAGAGTTAATAGATTCTAACCCAGCCTCACCATAGAAAAGATATGCATTTCAGATTGTCTGGTTAAAGACTGAGAGTAGTAATAGTATAAAAGAACACATTTCTGCTTTTATTAGTAAGGCACACTGCACAGAGTAGCTATTTAATTTTTTTGTGACAGTCTCACTATGAAGTTCAGGCTGGCCTTGAACTCACTAAGTAGCCTAAGCTGGCCTTGAACTCACAGCAATCCTCTAGCCTCAGCCTCCTGTTTGCTGGGATTACAGGCATACACTACCATGCCTGGCTCAGGAGTAGCTACAGTATTTCAGTGATGATACTTATATATTTTTGACTGGGGATTGAACCTAGGGCCTTGGATATAGAGTATGTGCTCTACCATTGGAGCACACTCCAGCTGACAGAATCTTCCAAGTTTTCATTCATTGCATGTTAAGAAAATTTCCCTTTATATCTTGTTTCAACTGAACTTTTTTTTTTAATTTAATTTATTGGTACATTCTAGGTAGACAGTACAGTTACATTCATTACTGGGATCTTGTACCTTTACATGCCAGGTCTTGGTTCTCATTTTTTCCCCTTGTCCCCACCCTCCCCCCCTTCAAACACTTTAATTCCATTTTTACATTTTCTCATATTTTTTTCATTTTCCATTATTCCCCCTTCCCTATCCTTCTCACTGTCCCTACACCTTTGTCAGCTGGACTTTTAAAGTAAGTTCTTAAAAATATCTTGTGCCTAGAATTAAATTCTGTAAAGGATATTTAATGTAGCTTTTATTGATTGAGTAGTATTGGGCCTTTGCACTAAACTATATCCCTAGTCCATTTTTTTGTTTTATTTTGAGACAAGGACTTGCTAAGTCACTTATGTTGCCCAAGCTGTGCTTGAATTTGTGATCTTCTAGCCTAAACCTCATAAAGTGTAAGGATTACACGTGTGCTCCACCATATCCAGCTATAACTTTACTTTGAAGTTGTTTTTTTAGATGAATAGATTGGTACTTGAACTACATGTTTAAACAGGCATTTCAGGATGTTTTGGAAATAATTATCTACTAAAAGATTTGTTGTGGCACTGTGGTTTTCCTTCTGCTCAGGTTTTGATGTTCCTTCTTGGAGGTAAATGCTACTTGAGAAGACTTTTTTGAAAACCACACTGATAATAACCCTCTTCCGCTTACCTGAAGCTTGGGTAGAGTACTGCAGTACAGTTCACTAAGCTTATTAAAGATTTCTTAGTAGCCTTAACAGAGGTTGATGAGGCCAAATAATAAACACATTGCCAAATAAGTTTTTCCCTCCTCAGCTTACTCACTAGTCTTTTTGCATCATGCAATGGATAAGAGACTGATTCTATAATATTTCAGTTAAACTTAACAGTTGTGTAAGTATTTTTATTTTATATAGGGAAATCTAGGCATAGAAGCATGAAAGTTGTGTGTGGTCACATATCTACAAAGTGGTGGGCTTGGTATTTGAAGGTTCTGTTCTTTTGTCTGTTTTCTTGTGTGAGCTTTAGGTTCTGCAACTCAGAAAGCTCAAATGGCCCCCACTGTGTAGCTTCTTTGATCTCAAATCCTTGAAGTTTAGTTCTGAGCATATGAGGAGATGATACAGGAATGTGGTAGAGTAGAGTGTTTGTGTGCAAACAGTGTACATTGAGGAAAATGTGAAGGTGTAAAAGATTCTTTATCTACAGCAGGAAGATTGTTATCTAGTTTAGCTACCAAAGCCTTCACAACATTTTGTATTTAACTAGGTCACAGATTTTTTAGGCAAAAAAAAATTCCTTTTTAAGTACATAACTTTTTATTTTTTATTTTTTTGTATGTTTGTTTTTCTGTTTTTTTGTTTTTTGAGATAGGGTCTCACTATGTAGTTGAGACTGATCTGGAACTCACTATGTACCCCAGGCTGGTCTCGAACTCACAGCAATCCTCCTGCCTTAGCCTCCAGAGTGCTGGGATTACAGGTGTGCGCCACCACACCCGGCTTAGGTAACTTTTTAGATTCCTCAGAAAATGAAAAATTGAAATTATACTTGACCCAGCTATTCCCTTTCTCAATGTCTTCCTGAAAGGATTAAAGACATCATTTTACAGTGGTAAATGTAAATCCACCCATGTTGATAGCAGCATAATTCATAAATTCTATATCTTGGAAGTGGCCTATATGTCCATCAACAGATGAATATGGTAGATAAAGCAAATGTGGCATTTATACATACACAGATACTGTGCCATAAAGGATAAACCGGAGTCATTTATAGGAAAATGGAGGTACCTTGAGGCCATAATGTTAAGTGAAGTTAATCAGGCACACAAGCTTAAATATAGCATGGGTTCTGTTGTAAGGCTTAAATAATAGCATTAATTCTCTTATATGAGAAATTCAAGGTATAAATAAGTTAAAGAGCAAAATAAAAGATAGATAATAGAAAACAGGATGACTGGGCGTGGTGGCACACGCCTGTAATCCCAGCACTTGGGGAGGCTGAGGCAGGAGGATTGCTGTGAGTTCAAGACCAGCCTGGTCTACATAATGAGTTCCAGGTCAGTCTCAACTACATAATGAGACCCTGTCTCAAAAAAAAAAAAAAAAAAAAAAAAAAAAAAAAAAAAAAAAAAAAAGAAAGAAAGAAAGAAAAGAAAACAGGGAGATAGAACTTTTGCTAAAGAGAAAGCGACCAAGTGGTCAAGAGATGGAGGTAAGTAGGAGAGAGCGTAGGGGAAAGGGATGAAAAAAATTAAGATGTATTATGTACACATATCAGCTCCCCATAATAAATGTAATCATCCTGTACTAATAAAAAGTAAACATGGGTTATAATTTTAGAAAACAACATAGGTAACCTCATAGGTGGATTTTACTTTTTATTCTACTTTCTTTGCACGGTTAAAAAATGTAGGAAATTGAAATAATTGTTTTTTCTTTGTAGATTAACTGCTGAAGTACTGATCGAGTTCTGCGTTTCTTCAATGAGGAACTATAGGCTGATCTTCTGCCATAATCTCAAACAACCATAAATGACAAAAGAATGCTTGCTCAGTGAGGGTAGCTGGTGCAGAAGCCATTTTTTAAACTTAGGTGTTTAAGTACTCAGAGGTAAGTCTTCAAAATGGTAGTTTTCTGGTGTACTATAAATCCATAGAAATTTTTGGAGTTTTCCCCCATTTGATTGTAACTACTACTATTTGACTGCTATTTGATTGTTACTGCGAGGTTTTGTAGTTAGTTATTAGCTGGTATCAGTTGTGTTGAAGAATGGAAGTTGCTTTTCTAAGACAGTGTACATTTATGTTATTTTCTTGTCCCTAAATTAATTTCTACCATTCCTGTAAATTGGCTGAGTTTTTTTGTAGTCATGCTATGATCCTCTTTATCTAGGGAGTGAGTATACAATTGATCCAATGGGACTTATTTTTATAAACTTTTGAATCTTGTCTAGACCTACTTGGGTGATCTGAAGTTGATGTTATCAGTTTTTTAAAATCCTCTTTTCCCATAAATAAATATTTTTAAAATAAGTATTTATTTTAGAAAATGAATTTTTCTTGAGATTCCTTGTTTTCTCATGCATTACATGTTGGAGACGGTCTTTGGAGGCATAGTTCCCTCCTATTGCTTTTTTTTTTTTTCTATTCAGGACCTTGACTTGTGAGACAGGTGCGGTGCCACTGAGTTAAATCCCTGGCCCTCTTCCTACTTCTAATCTCACAGAGTTAAGACAAATAACTTTCTTTTTTTGGTATCGGGGATTGAACTCAGATCCTTGCGCTTGCAAGGCAGGCCACTGAGCCGCTGAGCTAAATCCCCGGCCCAAGACAAATAACTTTTTAAACAATAGTCTAACTCTGGCAATCTCATCTTTCTTTGTGCTGTGCTGCTCTTTGCTGCTCTTTTCTCTTTTGTACTGGGGATTGAATCCAAGGTCTTGCACATACTAGGCAAGCACTCTACCATTGAACTGAATCCCCAGCCTTTTTTTTGGTACCGGGGATCAGACGTGGATCATTGTGCTTGTGAAGCAGGTGCCAGAACCACTGAGCTAAATCCCTGGCCCCCCAGCCTTTTTTATTTTGAGACATGGTCTCTTGTAACTGCTCAGCCTGGCATTGAACTTGTGATTCTCTTATCTCAGCCTCCCCAGTAGCTAGGCTTATAGGATTGTGCCATTGCACCTGATTAAAATTTTTTTTGAGTAATTATGAAATGATAATATTAATAAAAGGACTTTCCTCATTAAAAGTTGAGATCCAGAAATGAAAAAAAAATTTTTTTAACAGCTGCTCTATCTTATAGGAATAAGAACTGATTGATTTTGTTCTTATTTGCTCATTAGTGATTCTCTCCTCTTTGGATATTCATTAATGGAAGGGTTAGGTGAGCTTCATATAGCAGAGTTGAGATGAGATGGATTAGATTTGGCTTTTTACCTGGGTCATTAATAAGCTTGGTTAGTAAATATCTTCTTGGAGGAAAGATCTTAGAACCTTATCTTTGGGATATTAATGTCCTTTGCTAAATTCTGAACAGTCAATTTTTCTATTGCTAAATATGCAAACACTAAAGAGAGCCTTCGGAACTAACTTCATAGTAGAGAAAATGCTTAGATAATTATATTGGGCTTTATTTGTAGAATATGCCATGGGCCTGTTAACTGGAACATACTTAAATAGCTGAAAACACATTCAGGAGTAAAGCATTTTTCTTTAATGTATTTAGTCATATTGCCACCTGCTAATCATTATAGTCTCTTTTTTTTTTTTGTCTTTCATTTGGCAGAAAAGACAGCTTTGATTTCTGGCTGCAAAAAAGATATGAGGAAGAGCTCCTCCCCTTCCTTGAGTAACTGCAACTCCGTTCTTGCTAACAAAATATTTGGAATTCCACTTGATGAGCTGCAGCAGGGAGGACATCCAGACAATGAGGTTCCATTCATAGTCCGCCACGTTGTGGACTATATTGAGGAACATGGTATACATTTCTTTACTTTGAGGGCTAGTTTTTGTTTTAATAAACACAACTTATCCCTTTTTGACTTTGGATTTTTAAATTTTTTTTAAGTATGGAAAATGCAAAGTATAGGCAAACCATAAAAATTCTTTTTAAGGTTTCAGTGTGTTTTTAATTTCAATTGGTATATCTGGAAATGACAGTTGCCCAGCCTAGAATATTTTTGTAGTGGGGGGTGATAGGACTATTTTTAATGGATATAAGGGGTGGGATAAAATAGAATATCCTTAAGAGATAGAAATGTTTCAAGATGTCTCATTTTTGACCAAGTCTGGAGAGCCAAGCAAGAAAGGCTTTTCAGAAGTATGAGTATTTTAAGTTGGCTGAAGATGAAAATATATGGGCAAGTTGGTGGAAGTTGCAGGTTATTTAATTTTTATCTTGAACTAACATAGGCGGTCTGGAGCAACAAGGACTTTTTCAAGTCAATGGAAATGCTGAGACAGTGGAGTGGCTTCGGCAGAGATACGACAGCGGAGAAGAGGTGGATTTGGTTAAGGAAGCAGATGTTCCTTCAGCTATTAGTCTCCTTAGGTTTTTCCTTCAAGAACTTCCTGAACCTGTTATTCCTGCCAGTTTGCATATTCACTTGATGCACCTTTCTCAAGGTAACTGGTTTTGATTCTGATCAGTCATTTATTATTAATTTAGAGTCTACCTTTTAGAAATCTTTTAAAGAATTTAATAGAATACAGTTATATTTGTTTTGTTATTGTGAGTTTTTACTGTGCCTAACTTATAAATTAAACTGTATTATAGGCATGTATATGTAGGGGAAAAAATATATATATATATTCTATGATTTGGTACTATTTATAATTTTAGGTATCCACTGTGGGTCTTGAGGTGTATTTCCAGCTGATAAAGAGGGACTACTATAACTGCTGATTATTTAAGAAAATAATCCTAATGTTTGATCTTAGAAAATTACTTCTTAGATTCTTTGTTTTTCATCTGGAAGGAAGAGTCCGAAAAGAAAATAAATACCCTGTAGAGTTGTCGAAGTAATATGTGAAAAGGACCTGGTACACAGTAACTACCCAGGAAATAAGTTTCTTCCCTGTCTGCTTCTTCCCACTCCCATAATATCTGGCGCAGGTGTTTTCTTCTTTTTATTCCTAAACGGCAGGGTTGGATCCCATCCCTGTGACTCAGGCCTGCTCTTCCAAATCTCCTGCTGAGTCCTCTGCTGCTGCTTTCTGCCTCCTGGAGGCGGGCAGAGGCAGCAGGTGAGAAGGGAGAAACCAGCTTTGAAGGCTGAATTTAAAAATGTTTTTCAGACTTATAATCTAGAAATTTGACACAGGTTTAATGAGTATAATATTTCAGAGATGAATTTTTTATTTTCTCGTTTGCTTTTTGGACCCCTGTAGTCTAGTCAAGGAAATGGCAGTTTCTTAAATCCCTGTAGTATTAGTTAGATTTTATGATTGGTCTTTTTCTTTTGGTACTGGGGATCGAACTTGGGCCCTTGTGCTTGTGAGGCAGGTGGTGGAACCACTGAGCTAAATCCCCAGCTATGATTGGCTTCTTAAGCCAAAGATACAGGAGGCAAAGGAGGAAGGGCAAAAGGAGAGTATCATTTATTTTATTTTGTTCCTTCTTTTGGGAGGGTGTCTAGGTTTCTGGAAAAAGATTTCTCTCTGCACTTTTTTGTAGGTAAATACTATGTTATTGTGTATTCATCTACCTAACTCAGCAGTTTATTGAATACTTGCTATACGCTGAGTACTGTTCTTGGTGCTGGGATTTCAGCACTGGAAAAAACTAGATATAGGGTTGGGGATTTAGCTCAGAGGTTCCACTGCCTACCTTGCGAGTGCAAGGACCCAAGTTCGATCCCGGGTGTCAAAAAACAAACAAACCAAAAAAACCACTAGATATAAATCTATGCCCTCATGGAGCTAAAATTTTAAAGGGAAGATGAAATAGAAATAGATAATGAATTATAAAATAAATATATTAGTATATGATTAGTATATGATAAGTGCTACGGAACTGGAATGTGTTAGTGTTGTAGTCATATTGATAATATTTACTTGCTGTGGTTTTGTTTTTGTGTGTTAAGACAGGATTTTTTTTTTTGGTACTGGAGATCGAACGTGGGGACCTTGTGCTTGTGAGTTAGGTGGCAGGCAGCAGGCAACAGCACTACTGAGCTAAATCCCTTAGGATCTTTTTTTTGTTTGTTTGTTTTTGTTTTTGAGACAGGGTCTCACTGTGTAGTTGAGACTGACCTGGAACTCACTATGTAGCCCAGGCTGGTCTGAGCTCACACTGCCCCAGCCTCCCTAGTGCTGGCATTACAGGCCAGGCTTGCGCCACCACACTCTGCCCAGCCCTTAGGATCTTTTTTTTTTTTTTTTTTTTTTTTTGAGACAGGGTCTTACTGTGCAGTTAAGACTGACCTGGAACTCACTATGTAGCCCAGGCTGGCCTTGAACTCACAGCGATCTTCCTGCCTTAGCCTCCTGAGTGCTAGGATTACAGGCGTGCGCCACCAAGCCTGGCCCGGCCCTTAGGATCTTACTTATATAGTCCAGGCTATCCTTGAACTCCCAGGTGTTGAGATTGTAAACATGAGCCACCATACTTGGCTTTCAATTTTTTAGTTGATAATATGATTTTCTTTCTTGGGGGGTGGGAATGGTACTGGGAATTAAATCCATGGCCCTGCAAATGCTAGGGAAGTACTCTACCACTAAGCCAAGATAAGCAAAACATCTTGAGGCAGTTGAGAAATTGAGTACCTTTATTTTTCTTTTTACTTTAGAAACAGGTTCTTGCCAAGTTGTACTAGCCTCAAATTTGCAAGCCTCATTCCTCAGTGTCCCAAGTAGCTGGGATTATAGATGTGTGCCACTATGCCTAGTTTATACATGATTTTCCTAAATAATTGTTTTCTTTTAAATGCTTAGGTTGTTAAAATTAATTTTCCACCAATTATAGGCAAGGTGGTTTTAAAAACACTAACCCAGGGATTGTTCCACAAAATTATAAGCTCAAAGTACTGGTGCATTTGAATGGACAATTGGTAATACTACAAGGTGTAGAAGAGTTGTTATTTGTTACCTTTTAAATTTTATATAAAACTCATGTGACTATACACTTTTCTGATAAACTTTCTAGACTTGTGTTATTTTGCAAAGATGTCTGATATCGTGATCATACTTATGACCTAGTTTTTCCATAAATTAATATTAAGAACCAGCAGAAAGATACAAAATGAAATACAATTGGATTGATATTTGCTACTGAAGCAGAATATTACTTCATTTTGAGAGTATCTCTTAAGAAATTACTCCTCTAAGTGGGCCCCTCATCTGTCACTGGAGTTAATATAGGCCTGCTTGTGTTGATGAAAACTTTGATATGATAACTACAAGGCCTAACTTTAGTGTTAAAATGTACTTGTTCAAAAAAAAAAAAAAAGAAACCAGCCTGGCCACCTTAAACAATTACTTAGCAAGACCCTGCCTCAAAATAAAAAAGGGGTGGGGGCCAGGAATTTAGCTCAGTGGTGCTGCCACCTGCCTTGCAAGTGGAAGGTCCTGAGTTTGATACTTTGTGCCCCCCCAAAATAAATAAATAAAATAAAAAGGGGGGATGGGAGTGTAGCTCATGTGAAAGCCTTGGACTTGAGTCCCCCAGTACTACAAAATTATAGGGAAGCAAACAAAAGGGTCAGTTTTAGTGGAGAAAATCAGATAAAAAACAAGAGCAACTTATTTAGTTTTACTGATATTGCTGAAGTTAATTGTTCTTTACAGAATGTAAGGGGGAAAAAAACCTTTGTCACTGTTCATTCCTTGTTTTCCCATTCATCCAAATGGAATAGTATCGTTGATACTGTTGGCTTTTCTAGTTGTCTGTACTTTGCTCATAGTACTCTTGTTGGTTGACTTGTGCAGTGTATTTTGAGTTCTTAAAATTGGCACTAGTTTGGAAACACAGGTACGGTCATGTAAGAGACCATACGATGAGAATTAGAAAAGAAGGCCGGGCATGGTGGCTCACACCTGTAATCCCAGCACTCGGGAGGCTGAGGCAGGAGGATCGCTATGAGTTCGAGACCAGCCTGGGCTACATGGTGAGTTCCAGGTCAGTCTCAACTACGTAGTGAGACCCTGTCTCAACGCCCCCCAATAAATAAATAAATAAAAAAAGGCCAGGCGTGGTGGTGCATGCCTGTAATACCAGCACTGGGAGGCTGAGGCAGGAGGATCGCTGTGAGTTCAGACCAGCCTGGGCTATGTAGTGAGTTCTAGGTCAGCCTCAATTACATAGTGAGACCCTGTCTCAACCCCCCCCCCAAAAAAAGAAAAGAAAATTGGAGCCAGGGAGTAACAGATGAGGAAAACATCTTCAGGCAGTTGAGAAGTTGAGTTTCTTTGCTTCATCTCCTCCTAACTCCTCCTCCACTTAATAAGTGAAATGCAAAGCCGTAAGGCATTTGACCTGTAGTAGAGGAAGTGAATAGGGTTGAATTGTTAAAAAGATAATGTGGGTGGAGTTATGTGAACCTGGCAAAATATCTGAGCTTTACTTTTTACTTCCTTAAGAAACCTGTCATTATGTTTTATAGATTATAATAATGAAGATGAATTTGGAAGAAAGTTGAGGTTCCTCTTGCAACAGCTTCCACCTGTTAATTACAGCTTGTTAAAGTTTCTGTGTAGATTTTTAGCCAATGTAGCATCACATCATGACGAAATTTGGTCGGCTAATTCTTTGGCTGCTGTCTTTGGTCCAGATGTCTTCCAGTAAGTTGTTTGACAAATACTTGTTTAATTTTTAAAAATTTTATTTGTGGAATAGAGTCATTATCTTGTCTTCCATGGATTATTGGATATTGGATGAACTACTTTTTATAGTAGATCTGATTAATCCTTGCAGCAGTTCTGTGAACAAGGTACAAATTAGGTTGGTTTTACCAATGGGAAAACCGAGGCATGGAATGATGACATAAATTGCTCGGGTTTATAATGTGACTCACTCATTAGTTCTCTTCTCACTTTACCTGGAATTAAGAACTCTCAATGAGAACTTTTATTCTTAGCATTTACACAGATGTGGAAGATATGAAAGAACAAGAAATAGTGAGCAGGATAATGGCAGGACTTCTGGAAAATTATTATGAATTTTTTGAGAACGAAGAGGAAGATTTTTCATCAAATGATTTGAGCTCAATTACTGAACAGGTGAGAACATTTAAAAATTTTGTTTGGAGGGAGAATTTGTGTTTTTAAGAATATGCTTAGCTGGGCATGGTAGCACATGATTGTAATTCCAGCTGAGACCCCATCTTAAAAGAAAAAATAATGCTTTCATGGGATACAGATTTGTACAGAATTTAAGTACTGAACTGGAGGTGATTTCTCTTGATTAATATATACATACACACACACACACATATAATGTGTAATATGTTCATCCATGTGACATGGCTTTTTTTTGAGTTTTAACATCTGGCTTTGACTTTTCCTCCCTAAACAACTTCTGTTTTCAATTAGGATAATAAGAAAAAAGCATTTATTAATTAATTTATTTATTTTTGTTTTTTTTTTGAGACAGGGTCTCCCTGTAGTTGAGACTGACCTGGAACTCACTGTGTA